CCCTGTTCTAGCTCATAATCTAAAAGTTGTCTTTTACCAGCTGTGATGTGTTGTGTTTTACATTTATCGATTCCAAAGTCCATTTGTATGTCACGTGAGAATGTTTCGGTAATGTGTAGAAGGTGATTAAGTTTTATGCTTGTGGAAGAGTATAATTTAAGATCATCCATGTAAAACAGGTGTGTAATGTTGTGATGTATTTCGTGGTTGTGTTTAATATTGTACCCAAAGTTAGTAGTGTTTAACAAGTATGAAAGTGGATTAAGAGCAAGACAAAACCAGAGCGGACTTAAAGAATCGCCTTGAAAAATTCCTCTTTTAATTTGTATTGGGTCGGTAATAAGTTTTGTGTCGTTTAGTGTAAGTGTTAACGTAGTATTCCAACATGACATTATGTAATTGAGGAATTGTGTAATATTGTTGCTGACTTTGTATATTGAGAGTACTTGTTGTAACCAAGAGTGTGGTACTGAATCAAATTATTATTATTATTATTATTATTAAATTAGTGGATTTCTTAATAACTTCTGTATTCGTCTAGCCGCGTAGATCAAAACTCGCATAGCCGTCCATGGTGTCCTCATTATAAAATAGATGAAGTACACAGATGTGGATGAAAATATCTGATTCGCCTAGGTTTTTGGATATGCTGTTTCTGATTTTTATTCTAAAATGATACCCCTCTAGACGAGGGTGTTAAAAGAATTTCGATCTCGAAGAAAAGGGGGTATATAATAACATGACACATGAAACATGACCGTAACGGAAACAACTCTCAGTTTTTGAAATATTCTAACGTATTGATTTATAACAGTTAATTATGATTCTTGTAAACCTCTAAAACCAATTGAGCAGATGTATAACAAACGAGCGCGATCTATTTATCACTTCAGCGTCGACGTTGGAACTTAAATTAAACACAATTCGACTTGCTTAACCGAAAGTTTCTAGAAAGATCGCGGACATTATCGAGAATTCCCGAATACCTACGAAGTCGGCATATCGCATTTCTCAGAAAGAACACATCCGCTTTCGCTTCTGATCGCCGGTGACTAATCTTTTATAGTGCCTCGATGGCAGCAGCTGACGCTCCGATGTCTGGGATATTCGCTACAATATTTAAAAATACAATTCTTGTCCCGACAACAATGAAACAAAAATATACAAGTGACAACTTTTTCAAGTTCAATAACCGTTAGGTTGGATAAAAAATGTCTCCCAAAATATTTAACCCTTTTAGATTTATTTGATAGTCACCCGCAATATATTTGGACTATAAAACTCAATCTACCTAATTCGAAGAACTTAAGAATATATTAGCCAAGAATGCTGAAATATCTCACTTTAATTTTGAGAAATGCTCATCTAATTTGAACAGATTTCAGGAAATCAATTTGCGCAATTACTGTCAACGGATTATACTTTGAGTTTAATAAAAGCGTAATTAGTGGTGAACTCGTCTTCGATTTTATTTATTGTGATTTGTTGAGTATTTATCTATTTATCGCAATCACGTCCCACTGTTGGGTAGCGCATTTTTAAAGAGCTTTCCAATAATTTTTTTTGGAGCAGATGTTAAATTGACATTTTATAGGTTTGAATAAGTAGACTGAGTGCCATTTTAACTGTATTAGGGTAGATAAAGTGAACACTTCAACGGCAAGGGTAGATAAAGTGAAACAAATCATTGTAGATTCCAGTTACATTTGTCATTCTTTAAAACTGGGACGCGAAGCACGATATAAATTAAAGTTCAGAACGGAATCCAATATCATTTGCATCGAAAGACGGGAAAACCTAAGCTTGCTATTTTGGTACGTCTAAATGCCTACAGAATTTTTTACAATGCTTTCTATGACTCTGCTATAAAATAAAGTTTTGTATTATACACGACTTGAAAGGAGTAATTTATTTTGGAAACAGGTTAAACCCCAAGACCAAAAAAGTAAAAAAAACCTTTAAGGGTTGATTTAAGAGTGGCGATCCTTCCGATTTGCCTGTGGGTTTTCGGGGTTATAAAGACAACAAAAATAAATTACAATATTTCAGCTTGTTTATAATAACCATCGAGTTACATCCGTTCTGGGTTACTTTTAAAATATCTATATTTTCAATAGCTCTGCTATAAAATAAAGTTTTTTTATTATACACGACCTGAGGAAGTAATTTAATTTGGAAACAGGTTAAACACTAAGACCAAAAGGAAAAAAACCTTTAAGAGTTTATTTAAGGTGGCGATCTTTCCGATTTGCCTGTGGGTTTTCGGGGTTATAAGGACAACAAAAATAAATTACAATATTTCAGCTTGTTTATAATAACCATTGAGTTACATCCGTTCTGGGTTACTTTTAAAATGTCTATATTTTCAATAGTGTATAGATTTCCGCAATGGGAATATTTACATTCATTACCTCCAATCGAGTATCCTCAAATGTAGGTACGTTCATAGACTAAAAATACTATTCCATGCTACATTAGCGCTAGTATTGTCCTCTGAAATGTGGCAAATTGAAGAAGAAGGTTGTTGGTTGGTTGGAAAATATGTTCTGTAGTATATTTTTTTACCCTCACCAACAGAGGGTGACTTCCACCCATGTTTTTTTAACATATCCACAATTGCTCCAGGATGGATCTGCCAAAGAGGTGCAGCATCACGGTCCTGTATACAAATAAGGATGAGTTGGTCAATTTCAGGTACACTGGAACGGTTTCCGAAAATTTATTTATATTAATTAAACTGAAGTAATACAAATTATAGAATAACCTCTTAGCAAACGTCATGTGTGTATCCGAGCTCTGTACAGGCGTAGGGAAAGTACTCGCAGTTGAATTTTATTGATAGTTATAAAGTTGCCTGATATAAAAAATTTTTAAGTTTTTTTGTAAGAAGTCTAAGTGTTGAAGCGTTTGTAACGGAAGGTGGAAGTTTCTGAAATATTTTTATACCAGAGTATAAAGGACCGTTTTGGCTGAAAGCATGTTTGTATTTGGGTAGAATAATGTTTGCTTTCTTTCGAGTATCGCAGTTATGTATACGTCTTCATGTTTATCTAAAAACTGTAAATTTCTATAAATGTGTTGTGTGACCCTTAAGATATAAAGATTGGTCATTGTTAAAATTTTTGCATCAACAAATTTTTGTTTACAAGAGTCGCGTTTGTTCAAGTTGTACATGATTCTTATTGCTCGTTTCTGGGTTTTGAAAATTGTATCGGAATCCACAGAGTTTCCCCAAAATTCAATGTTAGGCTTTTGGTATACCCGCAAATTTAAAAATAAATTTCAACACTGTTCCTATAAGCTTGCAACAGTATAGAATTATGCTGGGTTACAACCTAAAAAGTTAAGAAGGAGGAGGCTCGGGCAAATATAAGTGCTGGTATACATTTTTTGATAGTATCCAAATCGAATAGCAGAATGAGAGTCCTTGTTGAAAACTACTTTAGAGATATATTACAACTATATATTAATAGTTGTGGTAGTAAGGAAATCAAAATCGTAAAAGACACCTACAAAATTAGTATAAAATGCGGTCAAAATAAAATAAAAAGGTAGTGAATCCAAAGGGAGCCTACCTACAATGTTTGTTGCCATACCAATAAGCAGTTTCTAGTCTATAACTTTTGATTGAGAAGTCTGATCTAAAAAGTACGAATTGTTTTGGATTCTACGCACCAAAATTAATAAGAAAAAGTGTTTTCCCGAGAAATTTTGGTTGAGTCGATTTTTGGTAAAAAAAGGAAGGCCTTTTTTTGAGGCCCTCAAAAAAAAATTGTCTCAGATCGACCCGGAAAAAAATTTTCTTATAGAATGTGGCCTGTAGAATCCATAATTTCAAACAGTTCCAAGATTGGGCTACTAGTTCAAACGTTACAGCCCTTTGAATTTTCTTTCGAAATTGGTTTCTAGTCTATAACTTTTGATTGAGAAGTCTGATCGAAAAAGTACGAATTGTTTTGGATTCTACGCACCAAAATTAATACGAAAAAGTGTTTTCCCGAGAAATTTTGGTGTAGTCGATTTTTGGTAAAAAAGGAAGGTTATACACTGCCTTTTTTTGAGGCCCGCAAAAAAAATTGTCTCAGATCGACCCGGAAAAAAATTTTCTTATAGAATGTGGCCTGTAGAATCCATAATTTCAAACAGTTCCAAGATTGGGCTACCAGTTCAAAAGTTACAGCCCTTTGAATTTTCTTTCGAAATTGGTTTCTAGTCTATAACCATTGAATAAGATTTATTATTCAATGCTATAACTTTTGATTGAGAAGTCTGATCGAAAAAGTACGAATTGTTTTGGATTCTACGCACCAAAATTAATAAGAAAAAGTGTTTTCCCGAGAAATTTTGGTTGAGTCGATTTTTGGTAAAAAAGGAAGGTTATACACTGCACACCAACAACTATATTCTTGAGGTTGTGGCACAAATGAATAGGTATACCAATCGAAGTAAATGGGGTAGTTTACCGTAAGCGTTTTCATTTCTTACTAAGCATATTATTATGGGGAACTGACTTTGCTTTCACGCCTATTACCCCGTTAACTCTTAAATTGATATTACTCCGTCATTTATACCGAAATGTACATAAATTTTCTGGAAACAATGAACGTTATACTTCAGCCTTCTTCCTAAATTCAATTTAGAAATGGCGCGGACTAAAGTAGCGACCTAAGTAAACGTGTGAGCAATATCTTTAGTAATTGCTTTTGCCATACTTAACTTTCCGATGCCCGTTACAAACTTTGTTGGATTGGATAGCGATTGCGAAGTTAAATATTGGAAAATTTGTTCCAATATATTTCCATACCTTCCACAGTTTCACAATTGCTCCCAAAGGGAATTGCAGTTGTAAAACAAATCAACCACTCCGCCGGAATTGCCTCCCCCGAGTTTATTTGTGACGTACTTCGATACGGAAGCGTCGTTAACACCCCACAAACAAAGACCGTAAAAAAAGTGATTAGAGAATGTATAATGCATAATATTTGTATCTCTTGTTGCAGGAGGATTTCCCAGAGATAATCTGGTATGCAGTGGCGGAAATTGGCGCGTTCTAAGATAACATCAGGTCGATCGCGTACGCGCAGTATGCTTTGCTGTGGTCGAAGAAAGGTATGGATACTCCATTTTTTTTTCAGAATGCATAATTTATGCCAACTTTGTTTATAAACAGCGAAATTATTTTATCGCGGGCAGTCAATCTACGTATAATTTTCGTTCGTGTAAACTCGTTTCTTTTCTGGGCCGAGAAAGGTTCATTACGGAAATAAAAGTATTTCGTGATTGGTTGACACGTACGTTTTACCTACGCTAATTACGCTGGCGTGCGTACGAGTTTTACTATAATGTCACGTGTGCTACATTCATAACCCTATGATTGTATTAAACTTTTATTACCTTTTATAGGAAAAACGATTTAGGGCGTAGGATTAATACTTTTGGATCATATGAATTTGTGGGGGTTAAATTGATTCGATTGGAATTAGTTTACGTGCACACAATAATATATTCCTACAATTCTTTTCATTAGTTTTTCTTCTTTTCTGAGAGGTCTCGCAAGTTTTTGACTGAACTGATTTGTTTGAAATCTCATAACTTTTATCCCTTTTTGTTTACCATTGAATAAGAAATCTGGGTTCATATTCCATGGTAATACCATTCGATAATACGATTCTTTATATTCAATTGTAATACTCAATGCATATTATAAGAGAATTGCATCTCATCAATAAATGCTCTGGCCACCCCCCCCTCCCCCAAACAAAACAGTTTTGTTGCAAAATTTGCAAAAATTGGCACAATACCTTTTAGATGAGCCCATATCACATTATACCTACTCCTTACTTTTAAAGGAGTAGGTACCTATTTGTACCAATAGTTTTACCTTGTTAGTCTCCCTTCTTAAAATCTGAGGTGAGAGCCACAAAAAATAATTAGTTTAGAAAGCTGTTCAGAATGTTCTGTATTTCATAAACTGATATGCACTTGTGATTTTTATGAAAAAAAGAGCGCAGTGAAACTCATTTTGATTTTTTTAAATAGCAATACCAACCCATTTTGGGTTCATCTTATAGATGCTCTCAATTTATTTGCGTATTGTATTATGTACCTACCCATCATAGTTTATTTGTGGACAATCAAATGCTCTTGGGAATAACGGAGTCTACCCCTAAATACCCGCATTATCAAAACTTCTTCCTGATATTCACATTTTACCTTCCAACAAGATGGCGTTCCATCCCATACTTCCAGAAGTACGATGTATTTGCAAATTGCAAGAACAGGTTGCAAATTTCATCGAACCTAACATGTAGCCTCCAAATAGCCCTGACTTTAACCCTGTTGATTACAATACTTGGACTATAGGTACGTAGAAGCATGGTTCGCGAAAACACTATTTTCAACTAATATATGACTTAAAACATAGGATAGTTTTTTTGTTGAAACCATCAACCCATTAATTGAACAGTGGCGTCGAATTCTGCAAGCTGTGGTAAAACTTGGTTGATTCATTTTAGGTTGATTTAATGAATTCAAATTTTAATTAATTCATGAATTTAAACAGAGTAACTTGCGCAACAGTTTAAATGCAAGCTTTTATAAATCGTTAGTCTTTTAATATGCTCTAATATACAGGGTGTTTTTTTGGGAGCTTTAGTTAAAAGTTTCTGGGAAAGTAAAATAGGTAGGTTTTTGAAAATTTGTACTTAGGAGTTACTCTGAAGGCCGAATCTATGTAAAATATTTTCAAAATATCCGCACTTCCGGAAACACCGGAAGTAGATAGTAATTCCGTTATTTTAAATGGCAACCCCTATTTTTTATTGCATTTTTGGATTCTACGTGAAATTTCAGTTCTTTTGATACCCATATGTCGATATCTGCCATTTATGGTTTTTAAGTTATTTTGACTTTAAGAAAAAAAATGGCGGATGCAGATGGTACCTTGATAATTGATTACTTGAAAACGGTTGTAGTCATGGCAACCCATTTTTATCAGTGCATAGAGAATGAATAGGGCTTTCTTTTAGTGTACTTAAAAAAAAGTTAAGTTGCGTACAACCGCACCTATGGAGATCCAAATTTAAGAAACTTCAAAGTCTATAAACTCAGTTTTTTTAAATGGAATGATCATGTTCTTACTATTCCATGAGATAGAGAATCCAAATGGGCATATTTTGACAATACATGTTCCTATAGCTATCTTTAACAGTTTCTGACTTATTCCCATTTGATGCCATTTTTTTTCGCAGTTTCTTTTTAGTAGTTGGCCACCAGGATTTTATAACAATCGAATTTTAAACAAATCAAGGAATGGATTCTTTAATACCATTGATTCTAGTTCTAGTTTAAATAATTCATTAATAAATAACTCATTTATTAAGGATATAGGACGGAAAATTTTTGAAAAATCTAAACAGAGTCGTTCAACTGAATTTCTTAAACAACGTATAAGTCTGGAAATTAAGAGAGGTAATGCGATATCTGTTCTAGCAACAATTCCATACCAAAAATGTTTCAACGAAGTTTTTTATATTTTGCATTGAATTTATTTTGTTAATCTTGCATTTGCAATTCAATTCATTTTCTTAAATATTCTCTCGTAGAGCTTTGTATCACTTGTGCTTCAACGGTTTGTAGTGCATTAGGGGTACAAAATTTCCAAAATGCATACAATTTCGTTCCAGTTTTGGAATGAATGTACGGAAAGCACGCGCCGAGATTCTGCCCATTTCACCATAAATAACAATTAAATTCTTAAATAGGTGAAACCACTGCGAGTCATTTCTCGATTTTTGAAAAACTTATGTTAACCTATAACAGTGGGTGGTGGATTAGTGTCACTAGATTTGTTTAAAATTCAATTGTTATAGAATCATGGCCGACTACTAAAAAGAAAATCCGAAAAAAATAGTGTCAATTCAATAAAATGGGAATAAGTCAGAAACTGTTAAAGATAGCTATAGGAACATGCATTGTCAAAATATGCCCATTTCGATTCTCTATCTCATGGAATAGTAAGAACATGGTCATTCGATTTAAAAAAACTGAGTTTTTAGTCTTTGAAGTTTCATAAATTTGGATATCCATAGGGGCGGTCGTACGCAACTTAACTTTTTTCTAAGTGCACTAAAAGAAAGCCCTATTCATTCTCTATGCACTGATAAAAATAGGTTGCCATGACTACAACCGTTTTCAAGTAATCAATTATCAAGGTACCATCTGCATCCGCCATTTTTTTTCTTAAAGTCAAAATAACTTAAAAACCATAAATGGTAGATATCGACATATGGGTATCAAAAGAAGTGAAATTTCACGTAGAATCCAAAAATGCAATAAAAATAGGGGTTGCCATTTAAAATAACGAAGTTACTATCTACTTCCGGTGTTTCCGGAAGTGCGGCCATTTTGAAAATATTTTACATCGATTCGGCCTTCAGAGTAACTCCTAAGTACAAATTTTCAAAAACCTATCTATTTTACTTTCCCAGAAACTTTTAACTAAAGCTCCCAAAAAAACACCCTGTACAGGTATAAGCGGATAAAATATGGAACAAACCCATTTAAAAAAATGCTCACACAGATCAATCATAATCTTTCTTGCGCATTTTTTGCACTAAAGAGAATCTACAGGGTGGGTCAAAAATTTAAGTATGCACCTAAAATTGAATTGTGGTTTTTTTATTTTTGCTCCGAAAGAGTCAAAGATAGGTTTAGAATATGTTATCGTTATGTACCTACATGAGTTATATACGTAGAATCTGACACAGATTTCAAAAATGGATTAAACAACCTGTACCATTTAAAAACTTTTTGACGCACTCTGCATATTTTCTCTTTAGTGCAAAAAATGCGCAATAAAAATTATGATTGCGAGCATTTTTTTAAACCCAACATCTGATTTTTAAATGAATTTGTACTATATTTTAACCGCTCACTGTAGGTTTAAAATTTTTTCAAAATCGCACCAAAAGTTATTTAAGCCGAACTTCGGCTCACTGTGTAGGTAGATACTCCTGAACTTTTTACAATGCTTACTTTTCCACTTTCAACCAAATTAGAATATAACGACATCCTTGTGGTTGATCAAAAGAAACTTTTCCGTCATTCTATGATGTTCCTGATAATCGTTTAATGTGTAGTTCCCGTAACTTATTTAGCGTGGCGAATATTCAGGAAATTCAGAATTGTAGAGAATTTATGGTAATACTTATCTTTTACAAAGAATACCTACTATACGTCTATACTAATTACAGCACGAAAGACAGCATCAAACTTTTCATACAGTTGAGTTTTTTTATAAATAAAACGCATCTAAGTTTTAAATTGTTTATTTAAGGAAAAACGTTTTAGTCTCAGTTCATATGCCATAACAAACTACCCTGAAAACAAAACTCTAAAATACGTACAAATTATCGTGCCCGTCTTTCCAAAATAAATAAAATAAATAAATAAAGATGGCCCCTCAATGCAAGAAAACTCCAAACATTCAGACAAATTAAAGAAAACTCGCTCAAAAATTCAAAAATACGATACAAAAACTTCACAAAAATCTAAAACATCAACGAAAATGCAAAAAATTCCATGTTTAAAATTTGATACATGAGTAATGAATGACTTCCCCGAAAAAAACAACTGCACGTATACTTGTTAACGTTCGCGTACCCTCGTGAAATCGGGGGTTGGCCGATTAAAAGCTAGTACACATCGGAAATTTCGTAAAGCTCTCGAGAATTAATGGAAAATATTTGCTTAAATTTCCGGTGTGCGAATATTCGTTCTTAGCAATGCGAATATTTCCGGAAATATTGCAAAATTCGCTTGGAAATATGTGCACATATTAATGTGACATTACAATGACGTATTATAATTGTACTAACCATACTTTGCTCAATTCATTAGATGAGGCAACAAAGAAAGTTAATTTTAAGATAAAATTCACTTTTTGTATAAAAATAAAATTGATATTCCGTCAGATTTACCCTGTTGTGTGACAATCTCTAATCTCTTTTGGTGTTATCTGTTATTTTGGTATTCTTTGATCTTCTCTTTCAGTTTTTTTTACATTCTAAGGGACCGTAAGAACTAAGAAACTGAAAAGAATATGTAGG